GCACTGTATCAAATCTATTTTTGTAGTTTATTTTTAAACATTTTGTCAAAAAATTTTACTGTTATGGTTTGTCACTAATATGAAGAGCAGCTTCTGGTTCTACCATGCAAAAGTTTAAAAAGGCTTTATTTTCATTTGTACTTTATCAAGTTTATTTTTGCAGTTTTTTTATTTGGAACATTAAATATTTATTGCATTGTTTTTTTGTTGTTGTTTATGTAATAAACTTTTGTGTTGATAAGCCTGAGTGGTCTGTTGACTGACTGCTGTATTTGTTTAAATAATAATTATGGTCAGGTTACAATATAAAAATGTTTTTCATAATCATGTCTTGTGATTATTTGACAGGAGTTTTACTTTTAAACTGTAAGTGTATTTAATTTAGTTATAATGTAAATACAATATAAATTAAACAAAGATTTAGAATATTATAATTTTAAATCAAGATTTATTATAATTATCATTTTGATCTGTATAGTAATGTGTGACTGGGCCTCGTGTCACTTTATGTTCAACAAATTGGGCCTCGAGGTCCAAAAGGTGAAGACCCCCTGTGATAAACTAAATGGACCAAAACAAAAAACATCAAATCAGAATCACTCCATGTTGTTAGGGAAATTATGCAGTTGTTGTTTTTTGCTCTGAACCCAGAGCAGAAAAAMAACAACTCTGTATATTTATTATTTTAAAAATATTTTATCATTTAATGTGCCTCCTGCTCTGCACACGTTACATCAGCAGCTCCAGGTTCTGTCTGCTCGGCTGGAAGAACTGAACCTTCAGGACAAACAGAGCTGTGGTCCTGAAACGGGTCAAACATTCCTGCTGGAGGACGGTTCAGAGTCTCAGCTGCATTAATGTGAAACAGATCCAGTGTTTCTGCAGACTCTCAGCCATGCTGATTTAAAAAGCATCTAATGTCCTACTTTGTGTTGTTGTGGATGGCAGGCCACCAGGACCTGCTTTAACCAGTTCCTGCAGCGGACCCCGGTGGACCGGTCCTCCAGCAGGGCTTTAGTAATTCATGACGCTGGTACCTCAGAGCTCCTGCAGCCTCCTTATCAAGAGTTTCCTTCACTCTGATGAAAACAGCTCATATTTTAATGATGAGCCTGTTTTACAGAGGATCTCTGACCTCTCAGGGTCCGAGCAGCGAGCCCGGCCCGGCCCGGCCCAGGCCCGGGCGGCACACAATGGTCAGAGCGTTGTGAATAATTCAGGTTGTGGGCACGCACCATCACTGCTTCCTATTGAAGGACTTGTTTGTGGAGGTGCCAGGCCGGCCCACGTCTCACATCATTAGGCAGAGAGGACGCCACAATGTCCTACGACGTCTTCTTAGCATTCAAAGACCCCCCCCCTCCTGTAAGCGAGCCCCTCAGACCCGCGGGCCGCGGCGCTGCCAGCTGATTCTCAGTAATTTATGAAAGGAACACAGGGGAGCAGAGAACAAGCTCTTTCTGCCTCATTAGAACTTTTTTCATCAGCCGTTCTCTGACAGAGACCCCCACACCACCCCCCGCTCCCCGCCTCGGACTCTTTTCACACTGCACCGGGTCCACAGAACCTCCAGGACCAGAAAAAGGAACAGGAAGTGGTACCTCTGCTCAGGGTGCTCRGGGAAGGCTTCTTGGGGAGCTCAGAGAAGCTGGTCCCGTCTGGACCAGAACCTTTGCAGTCCTTCTTGCCGGCGGGTGAGGGAGCGGACGTTTCCATGCTGCTCCTCAGTTCTCCCTGAAGATCTGCAGGAGGAGAGGCAGACATGAGGCGGGAAAACCACCAGACAACATTTCAAAATAAAGTGTCGACAATCAGGTCCTCTTTTTAACTCTCTCCTCTCCACAGACATGATGTTTGTGTGGAAACAAGTGGGTCAGGAGGGGCTCTGGGTTTCAGTGGACCGGGTCCACACTGCTCCCCCTGTCCTGATGGAGGAGCAGTGGTTGGTGCTGTTTGAGCCACACGCTGAGTCAGCACCAAGGTTAGAATAGTTTATTTTTCATTATAGTTTACTTTTATTTTGTTTTAATTCAGTTTTAGTTTTTACAGTGGATTTGATTGTTTTCATTAGTTATTATTGCATTTTTAATGCTTAGTTTTAGTTTAGTTTAGTTTTTATTAGTTCTAGTATTAGTTTTTTATAGTTTGAATAAACATATTTATCCAGCTTGTGATGTTCCTGTGAGTTCACGAACCAACAGATATTTGGTCACTAATTAAATCAGTCCATTATAGCGACACTTTTCTAAAATAATTGTGTAACTTAATTTTACCAACTAAAAACTTGTGTGATTATTTCAGGACGATGACAATATTTGTTTCCAACCTGTTTGTTTTTCATGGAGCTGCTGAGAGAAGCTAACGTCAGATAGTCACAGTTAGCATCTTGTGTGAGTTTGATTCATGCAGTTTTTACCTTCAGAMGTTTTCCACCTGTTTTATCACCTGTTTCCACTACAAAACTCTTGATTTGATTTTTCAGTCAGATTTAAATAAATAAAAAAGTGGACGTTGCTACTTTCTCCTAACTTTTGTTGTTGTCATTTAGCAGGTGATGCTGAGCAGCAGCAGAATGTAAACGTGTGTTACAGACCACAGCTGATGTAAAACTACTCAAATAAATAAATAAATAAATAAAAAAAGATCCACATGGCTCAAAATAAATAGACAAACACTAAAACTAAAGATATTCTCTCTATAACTTCAGTTAGTTTTGTAAAAAGATTATATAGTTTTAGTTAGTTATTGTTGTTTTTTCATTTTATTACAGTTTTTATTCATTTTAGTTAATTAAAATGTTTTTTTCATTTTCAGTTTTTGTAATTTAGTTAGTTTTAGTAACTATAATAACTCTGGTCAACACCTCCTCACTGTGTGAAAGGCTCCACGGCTCGACAGCGCGCCGCTTGTTTGACTTGGTCCGACCTCAGAGATCATCCTGTGGTGTGAGCAAACACACACACTGACACACACGCACTGACACACACACTGACACACACACACACACTGACACACACAGCGAGCGTCCACCTGCTGTCAGATACCAGAGAACGTGTGTTTTGACAGAACTGAGGTGAGAACAAACAGCTGGAGCCAATCAGACGCTCGCAGGTTTTTACAACAAAAACTTCAAATCTGGCATCGTCTCTGAACACCTGGTTCAGCTTCGTCTAATAAAACCCTCCAAACACGAGAAACAAACTGAGYTTATTGTTTTCTCTGATGAGTCTGAGATGTTTTCACGTCTCTGATCTCCAGGTAGAAGATATAAACTAACACTGTTAAAGCACAGGATGAAAGATGTGCTGAAACGAGTCCGAGGAGCTGCTTCCTGTCAGAGCTGCTCTGCTTCCATGTGGTTTTCCAACATGTCCTCCGTGATGAGCGGCGTTCGGTACCGAGCGGTTCTGTGACCCGTCACCTGTCGCTGAGCCAGGGTAAGCCGATTAGAGGTGKGCGACTAACAGGTTTAGGCTGCATCTGTTTCTGCTCCTCAGCTGCCAGCAGGCCCGTGAGCTCGCCAGCGAGCCGGTGTTGCACCATATTTTGTGACCAGAGGGGGCGCTGTTGCGTTTCTACAACAGAACTTGGCCGAACATGGTCACAAAGAAGAAAATGATGCGCCAACAGTGTAGGCCAGAGGCTGAAGACATACGATGAAAAAAACACAAACTGTTATTATAAATGGTCACAGAATATGACAGCTGTCATATATTGTGACTTCACTGTAGCTAAGGAAATAGTAAAGATTTTTATAAAAAAACTGTTTCTAATAATTGTTTACATCCTCTAGTGTCAGGAAAATAACTTTTGATCACTGACMTGGTGACTGTTATTACATTAGTACAGGCTCACATTATGATACTTATTATCATATATATTATTATTAATAGTAGTAGTCAACATGCCAGTGACCAGAAGTTATTTTTCTGACATTAGAGGATGTAAACACTAGAATCAGCTTATGAATAAATATTTCTACTACTTCTTTAGCTAAAGTGAAGTCACAACAATATGTCATATTATGTGACCTAATCACCATGTCAGTGATCAAAAGTTATTTTTCAGACATTAGAGGATGTATACAATGAGTAGAATCAGTTTATGAATAAACATTTAATATTATTTACCAAGCTACAGTGAAGTCACAATATATGACAGTTGTCGTATTTTGTGATCTCTGGCTTAGTTTTGTCGTATCATATTCTTCTTTGTGGCCATTTTCGGCCAAATTCTTTTGTATAAACGTGACAGCGCCCCCTCTGCTCACAATATATGACGGTCACTAAATATGGTGTAACACCGGCGGCGGCGCTGTGACGTCACCGGAGTTTACCTCCAGCTCCACAGCCTGTTGTCCTCGCAGACGCTACGTGTCCGTGAAGGTAGCTCCGCCCCCCAGCACCACCGCCTGATGACATCAAATCATCAGCTCTGATGTTAAAACAGTTTACTGGTCTCATCGTGGAGCCAAACTCCAGTTTAGGACCAATCACCTGAAGAGGGCGCCGCCCAGAAACAAAAAAACTTTTCTGATGTGAAGCTGTAAAAACTGTCAGTGTCCTCAGCTTCACCCCCTAATTCTGTGGAGCTGGTGCTGCCTCCTCCCCCTCCACCAAATGTCCCCCCACAGACCGGCCCGGCGCTGCCCCCGATGACAGGGCGGTCCGGCTCTGACAGGCTGGTCCAGGTGTCCGGGACCACGCAGGCAGATGGTGGGGACCAGAGGCCAGCAAACAACAAGGATATACTTCTTTTCTCATCTTCTGGTCGGCTGGGCAGACCACCTCAACCCGGCCCACGCCCGGACCCCGCCACGTGACCACAGGGAGGACTACAGAGACCAGAACAGGATTACACCCAGTCCCAACAGAACCCAAACTYCCAGGAGTCACAGAAACTGTTAATTTACGAGTTTTAACTCGAGTTTTAWCCCTGAAAGTCCTGAAAAACATTTTCAACATTTTTTATTTTTGTAAAGAAGTCAAGCTAAAGGTAAGAACCAGAGGAAGTCATCTGACAGCCTGGTTTTCACAAAAAAAAAGACCCTGGTAGGGTCTGGAGACGTTTAAAGGCAGAAACCGGTGGAACAAAGACTGTTAAGATAAAATAATAAAATATTAATTTTAAGAAAGAATGATCCTCCTGCAGCTTCAAAGTCACAAAGAGTCCAAATGTTCAGTTTGTACCTGAGGTGTTCCTCACTACAACAGCGAATCTCACAGTCATCTAAGTTGTTGCAAAGTCTGGATTTCATCTGAAACTGGCCTGAATTCAGTCAAACGTTAGAGCTGATTTAAAGGGGCTGTGACATCRTATTTTTGTAATAAACATAAATGCATTTTTGAAAAGATAACACTGATAACATGTTGCAAAACACGTTTCACACCACTGAGATGAACGGTTGTTGAGATATTTGCATGTGAAGAAACAGGAAGTGATGTCATGAGGGGAATATCTGCATGTAAACAGAGCGTTGTTACAACACAGACTGTGGAGAAGAATCTGATGTTTCTTTAGATTTTGAGTCACTATCAGAGATTAAGAGGAGTTCAAGTTTAAATAATTTTGTTTTAATAAACAAAAACCAGAGAGTTTATTTTATTATTGAGTTCCCCTTTGATGTCACTTCCTGTTTCACTTTGGCTGAGCCAAATTGAAAAGAAAATAGGCCAATTATGTGACAAAATGGGTAAAATAATCTGTACTATGCCAATTTTTTTAAGTATAAAGATATTTTCTTTGACATTTGGTATTTGAAGGGTGGACGTGTCACAGGAACTTTAACGAGACCCTTCAGAATAAAAGCTGAATGAAGAACTGTGCAGGCAGAGATTACACAAACCAAACTGTGTTAATAAGAGTCACCATCTGAGCAGCGACAGGACGTTTATGTTCCTGCAGTTTGTACCGCTCACTTTGAATCTAAATCCTTTTACAGAAATGTGTTCTCACTTACAGTTCAATACAAACATCTTCTAAATACTGTTTCAGCTCAATTCCAAATGCAAATTTGTGTATTCTGCAGCAATTTCATGTCTCCACCAAGTCTCAAAGGAGCGTTTTTGATGCAATGACTTCATCTTTTGTTTATTTTCAGATAAACACGCAGAGGATCAGGAATCGGCCGAGCGTCTCTTTGTCTCTCCTCTTCCTCTCCTCCAGTTCATTTACTTTCCACCCCCTTTTGTCTCAGACTTTTGTTATGAGAGCCGGTGTGTGTTTTTCTTAGCGCCTCGTTCAGTTTCAAGTGTTCCTCTCCTCCACTACCGTCCAGCAGCTCGCCTTTCACCAACACTGAGAGGAATGCAAACACACATCAAAGAGCCTCTGGCTCTGAAGATCTCCAGGCTCTGCTGCCGGACCTTCTTCCTTCCTTTCTGTCAGGGCCTGCAGACTGTGTGCTGGTAGTCCCTGTGCTGTGCCAGCGCACACACACACACACACACACACACCAACTGCTGGGGACCGCTCTGCTCACTTGGCAGCCTCTGGGCGGGTGGATAAGTGGGGTCTGCTGCCCCCCGATGCCACCTGCAGACCTCTGTGCTCAGGTTTCTGCAGGTTTTACCACAAGAAGCATTAAAAGTCAAAATACGGGTTTGTTTGACATACTTGTGAGTCTTCATCACTTAGCTGATGCTATCAGAGACGAGGGGCTGAGATTACAGAAGCCTGAACGTCTTTGATCTGCTGCTTTCTCACGTTTGTCTCAAGATGGGAAAAATAAAGATTTACAGCA